GTACTGAATCTCAAATTATTTCTTCCCTGTTAAACATGTGTACTCTAGTGTCTGCTATACCACCTGTAGTTTACTGAATCTCAAATTATTTCTTCCCTGTTAAACATGTGTACTCTAGTGTGTGCTTTACCACCTGTAGTTTACTGAATCTCAATTTATTTCTTCCCTGTTAAACATGTGTACTCTAGTGTGTGCTATACCACCTGTAGTTTACTGAATCTCAATTTATTTCTTCCCTGTTAAACATGTGTACTCTAGTGTGTGCTATACCACCTGTAGTTTTACTGAATCTCTTCCTGTAGTTTTGATAGTTGGATTTAGCGTGTGGATAATTGTGATCCAATTCGAGAAATTTACTAGTTGACTCTAAATATCTATGTCTGTATTATAATTAAAGACTTTTCTTAATTAGATTTATTGTTTTATATTTCAGGATAAAAAATAACTGTTAACTTAATGCAAGTTTGTTCAAAAATTACCTTTTAGATTTAACTTCTCTGTGGAAGCTTACTTACCTGCTCACGTCCTAAAAACAAATTGTTTTTAGCTTAGATTGAAAGATTTGAAGTATTTACTTAAAATCTTTATAAAACATGACATTATACCTTATGAAAATTAACACACCTGACTGCAATCCAGATGTATTCATTATATTTTAAACACTTTATTATGTTTTAGGAAATATATCCTGGACAGTTCCAACCTTCTAAAAGCCACAAGTTCATTCGACTCGTAGAAGACCATGGGAAGCTGTTAAGGAATTATACTCAAAATATTGACACATTAGAGTATACGGCTGGCATCAGGAAAGCTGTTACGTGTCATGGTGAGATTCAAATAGAAAGCTTGTGCTTTTCATTAAGTGAACATAAAATACATGAAGTCAACTCTCCCACTATGGTAGGTCAAAGTGTGCATGTCACAACCTTTTACATGGTTACATTCAAAGTATAATTAAACTACTGTATTATCAATGTATATGAATAAACTTCTCATCAAAATATAGTTAACAAATCAAATTTATATATATATATACGATTTAATTTTTATTTTAAATGGACATTTAAAGCAATTCTCCCCTTGTATGCATATTGTACATTTTTTCACTCTAACTTGCTCAACTTTTTTTTCATCACCACTATGTGATTGTCTATGAATTTAACCCTATTGCGACAG